CCCCCCCCCCCCCCTTTTGTTTTATTGGTGGGGGGGGGGGGGGGGCAGACCGTTCTTCCCACTTTGGCTGTGTGTTCAGCGCCAGCCGAGCCGAAGCATACACGTTTGGTTGCCTTTCGGTTTGCACGAGCCATAGGGCTCTGGCGGCCGAAGGATTAGCCAACGCTACGACTATATCCTTCGGCTCTTTAGTGAATAACCCTCTTAGTGATGGATTTTTTTTTTGGCCATTTATCTATACTGTCACCAGAAGATCTATATTTTTCCTTCCGGTGTCAGTTCTTTACGGTGCATTTCCACAGGTGGCTGCAATCCCATTCCAAAGAGTCAACATTGTGCAGTAATTCAGCACTTTTCAAAGTGACCAACAAATCTTATGGAAGCAGACTGCTTAAGTCCTTCCAAGACTACAAAAAGCATATTCTCCCATGCACAGAATAGTAAGCCATGTCAAAGAATAAAAGGAAGCTTACCTATTAAAAAAATACACCAAAAAATTTCCTCTTCTGCGGGATTCACCGAGTCCTAAATGTCAAGCCCCCGAGAACCACCTGATATGAGGTTCTCTACAGTTTAAAAAAATGTCCTACATAATCTTTTTTTTTTAATACTTCCATAAAAATTCCTTTTTGTTTTGCCAGCCTCAAGTAGAGAACATGTGCAAGATGAGGCCAGCATTGTACCCCAGAACCGGTGGGTGACTGCCATCCCTTGTGCCCTTTCCACAGTTAGAGCAGGATATTATTTATTATCCATAAGAACAGTTTTAACCTCCTTGGCGGTGTTCCTGAGTGTGGCTCGAGGTTAATTTTCAGTACCATAAGCGGTAACCCCGAGCCACACTCAGGATTACACAGCGCCACACTTACCTTGTCTACGATCCCCGCTGTGTCCTCCGGCCGATGCCGGCATCCGTCTTCTGTCCCTTGCGAGCGTATGCGTTGCAGGGGGGCGGAACCGGTGGCAAATTTAAACGTAAAGAAAAAAGACAAATGGAGAGAAAAAAAAAATCAAGAGCGCCAGGGAGGTAAAGCCAGTTCTTAGTTCAGACATTGGAAACTTGTTCTTCAGCTCTTTCTGTAACGCCAGTTAAGCAGATGTTATTTCTCCAAATATGATTTTCCTGGTAGTCTGCTTCATTTCTTCAGATGAACCGTTTATAAGAAATGTTTTTTAAATCCAGTGTAGTGTATGTTAGCTAACACAGGTAATTATTGCTATATTTTCCCATACCGAACAGAAAAAGCAATAAGCCTTTTGTAAACTGCTGCCAAATGTAACAGAGATATTGCCACTATTCCACAAATTAGACTAAATGTCCATCGAGGTCCCAGGTGTGTGTAGGTCTCACTGACAAATACTGGTCCTAAGGTCCGAGCTGCACTGCCAGCTGCAGTCAGCCAGCCCATGTATACCCCCTAAAGGACAGAAAGACATTTTAGAACAGGGATCTGGGATACATTTTCTACTTTGGCTTATAACAGTATGCACGTAGACACTTTGAAAAGAACAAACAATGATATGCAGTAAACCACAAAAACAGGACTGACAGTTTAGCAACACTGCTCAAGTTACAGCACTACTACAACAAAAACGATCAAAGTTGGCATCATAGGGACATGCCAGTTTGAGAGAGAAGAGAATGGCTTTATGAAGCAGAACAAAATATTTTTAGAAGGAAAGCTTTATGTATTTATTTTGTAAATTGCTTAAAGTTAAAAATAACTTCTTTTCTGCAACTAATGGGACCATCTATTATGCTAGCTTTGCCAGTATGCAACCAGTCTGCTACAATCCAGGAAGATTGCTAATGTTTCATTCTTTTCCTGTTTTATATAAAAGGAATTGGTGGAATATAGCAGCTAAAAAACTGGATGCCTTTGATTAAAGTGATATTAAAAGGAGAACTATGGGGTTAGGGCTTTTCCCCATAGTTCTCCTTAGGGTAACGGGAGGATACAAACTAGCATCCTGCCATCACCCTAAGCTCAATATACCGCGAACTACAGCTTGCGGTATACTGAGGCGCCACAGCTGAAGCGGATATCGACAATTATGTCTGGATCCGCCCAGCTGCGTGAGTAACAGCTGGCTCTGCCTATCTAGAGGCAGAGCCAGCTGTACCCGCCCCCTCCCCCCGTCCGTTCCGCCAGTCAGCACTGGAGGATCGGAGCAGGGGGAATCCAGCCCCTCCCCTGTCACGGCAGAGAGTGAAAAGCACTCACCTCATAGTTCTCCTTTTAAAAGGCATAATTCACCCCCGCCCCCCCTCCCCTCCATGCTGCTGTAAGGACTTACCTTATGTGATGCCTCTTGATCCGAACAACTTCCTTCCACAGTCCCTCCAGCGCTGGATACCGGTTTCTGATCCAACGCAGACTCCTCCATCTTCTGTGTCCCACGGTGTCTGTCCAGCACGTGGACTCCCAGCTGTGTCCATTCAGTTTCAGTGTCTCTTTCCTCCTCTCCCCTCTGGCGATCTTGCCTGCGTTTGCGCCCGCTCCACACTTCTTCCTTCACAACGTTCGGAAGCCGCAATTTCTGCAGCCAGGAGCGAGCGGCATTGACAAAGGTAAGTTGGTTGGTATTTGTCAACTTTTTTTTTTTTTTTAAATCTTAGGGCATATCTACTGCTTTCAAGCAGTAGATATATGCCAAAAAAAAAAGAAGACTTTCATACTACTTTAATGTTAGCTCTCACTAATGAGGATGCTGCTCCTAAAGACGTCAGCCATGTACAGGAGCATGAAAGCCTCAATTCTCACTTGTTTCATGAATGACCATATATTCAAACAATACTAAAATCCTGCATTATTCTGAGATCTTGTTGACTTACCTGTGGTTTGGGGCCTATGATTTTTGAGTACAAGGTGTAAGCCATGACGCTACAGACCGGATAGCCGAGGCCAATTAAAATATTAGATGTAAGATACTGCGCAAGGTGGATAACAGGTGTGTAGAAGCACCAGGCCTGAGCTGCAGGACATCCTGTTGGCTCTACAGTGTGATTGCTGGACATCACAAAACTTGAACTCCAGGAGCTTGAGTTGTGAATGGTCGTGTTCTCAACGTCTGCAGAAGAAGGCAGTATTCATAAATCACAATAATTGAGATTACACATTTACATTTTGGCTAATACTTAGTTGAAATGTTCAAGTCTTAAAAAGCAAGTCCAACGCTCATCTCTGCTCATTCACCTGGTTAACGCTGCCAGGGCCTGTATCTCACTACGCTGGAAAAGCTCCAGCCCACCCACGGTCAAAATGTGGCGCCGTACACGGGTAATGGAGGGACAAAACACGGGTAATGGAGGAGCTCCCCGTGTCTCTGCACCATACTGACGACAAGTTCCGGACAGCGTGGTTCTATTGGCTGGAATACCTCTACTCCCCAGAGTATGGTGCACTCATGGTAGAATAAGATATCATGCCATACCTGTGGAGATACGAAATCTAGAGGCTCCAGACATAATCTGACGCCATAGTCTGACACCCTGGCCACAGAGAGTCCATACTGCTGCCGCCTGCTGGGACTCGGCTGAATGCTGTCTCCGCCCCCCCCCACCTCTTTGTGTCGTCCATGCTACGACTTCTGTATGGCAGATACCTGGTTGCACTGCCTTTCTTGGTGCGATATGAAAGCCTGGCACAGTCCACGGCATAATTGGTTGCGCTTCACCCATGGGTGGTGACGCTTTAATACGCACTGAAAATACAAGTCTACCTTGCCCAGATTAGGGCTCCGAAAACCAGTGGAATTGTTAAATCTTCTGTACACTACGCAGGTTCATGATGTACCCTTTGTATTTTACTGTACTGCACAACTCCTCTTTCCTCCTAATTATCCAATGTCTGTACAAATGAACAACTGAAAATAAAGAATTAAAAAAAAAAAGCAAGTCCATCAAGGCTAACTGTTCCTCACCACCCTGTGTTATATTGCCTGCAGTTTGACTTTCTGCTGTGTAATGTTCACAGTCTGTGCTGGATCTTTGTAGGAATACATTAGGGGATGTCAATTCTGGAAGTATTGCTGTAAATCTCCCCTGCAAAACACAGATTACTACCAGGTATACACTGAGTGGCCAGATTATTATGACCACCCCATCAGTACTTGCACTGCACTGTTGCCCTTCTGTTGTCTTGTACCAGTCTTGCCACTCTCCGTTCTGCCCTAACATTGACTAGTCGCTGACGGCCACAATTCGCACGTTCAGACCCAGGTTTTCAGCTGACAGTCCAGTCTTTAAACACTTTAACAATGAGCCCCTCTTGAACATTTAACAAATTCTGCTGTTTTGCTGATACTTGCTCCATGGCTCCGAGCGCCAACAATCATCCCACGTTCAAAGGCTGTTAAATCGCGTTGTTTACCCATATCTTCAGAAACAAAATCACTTCTACTGTCGTGGTAAACAACCTGCTTCCCTATTTATAATGGTCTGGCCCTCTAGCAACTTCAGCTCGAAATTATGGCTAATTTGCCTACAAACGTCAGGTGGTCATAATAAACTGGCCACTCAGTGTATGGAAGGTATACTAACCTGCCCATTGTATTTTTGGGTACTGATTTCCCCAAGGCAACAAGATAAAGAACCCTGCCCAAATAGTAGCCAGTCCTCCGAGAAGCAAAATACGCTCTCCAGTCCTGTTATAGAAAGAAGAATGATTGAAATAAACCATTTTCAATGATAGCCACAGATATGATGATTTTTCACTTGACTGAACAAAGAACACAAAAGCATAGCAAGTATACAAAGGAATAACACAATACTTATGATGATCTTTGTATCTATGAGTGGGAAACAACTGGCATGTATTGGACAATCTGTAGCCCTTTTCAACAATGTCATCCATTATGCTGAAAACTATTTCATGCAAAGACTTAAACTTCACTGAGAATATTAGAGTCACTTACTTTTTAGAAATGATTTTAACCGTAATGAATACAAACACTGACTCCACACCAATAGCAGCCAAGATAACTCCATTATAAAACACTGCCTGTGTCCTGTTCCATGCATACATGTCCATTGTTAGTGGGGTTGCAATTCTGGGAAATAGAAGTAACAAGAAAGTCTTACATTTGAAGAAAATGATATACATATCTTACATATTACACACAAAATGATCTATCTATCTAGATTGCATACTCAAGGAACTGAAATAACATGGATAGGATGCCACCCACCTTCCTAATAAGAACATTGCATCCCGAAAGAATTTCGAAGTCTGTAATTTTAAAGAAAACCTGCGGGACTCAGATGGGATAAAATGCGAGGGAATCATTTATAAAGATATCGCTTTCTGAACACCAAAGAGTTACTCCATAACATGGCTGCATTTTGAGGCCCGTTTATAAAATGCAATCTGTAGTATGGATTTGCAGTGTCCCATGGGGTCCTCTGCTTAAAGGAGAACTATGGGGGTAGGGCTTTTCCCCATAGTTCTCCTAAGGGTAACGGGAGGATACAAACTAGCGTCACCCAAAGTTCAGTGTACCGCGAGCTACAGCTCGCGGTACAGATGCAGAGCCAGCTGTAGCCGCCCCTCCCAGTCCGTTCCGCCAGTCAGCGCTGGAAGATTGGAGCGGATAGGGGGGAATCCAGCCCCTCCACTGTCACGGCAGAGAGCTCACTTCCCGATCTACTGAGCCGTCCTGTGACAGTTTCATTGTCACAGGTCGGCTAGAACTATGGGGATGAGTGAAAATCACTCACCTCATAGTTCTCCTTTAACACAGGTTAAGTTACTTAGACTTGCTTTCCGTTTGTTTTGCACTGCACTTGCTTCAGATTCCAAAAGCCAGCGGTGAGCAATGCACATTTGTAAAGACGCTGCTGTGCTTTATAAACGTGCAGTATCCATAGTAAGGCCGTACCACTTGCTTTAATATTGGACCCCTAAGAGCTGCAAGAAGTCAGTGCATTCTTTCTTCATAGTGATATGCCCCTCCAGAGCAGCCCAATTGGATTTCTCCTTTCATAGTAGTAAATGCTTAACCTCTCCCTTAAAGTCATGGCAAGGCCTATTAGCAAGCCTGGGCATTGCCATGTGGAGGGTGTGCAAACAACAACTTTAAGAAAGTAATTTTTAGCTTAGCCACTGTAGCTGGTAAGCAGGAGGCACTGAAAGAGGGTATTACTAAGGAGAGTACTACCCGACAGCTACAAACAGCCTTCTTTACCTTCAGATGTACAATCTGACATATTAGCCATATTTCCTGGTGCTCACCATTGCCGCCACCACCTGGTGCGGCAGAACAGTTCACTGAAGTTTACAGTTATAATGTAATCCTAATCACAAAAAAAGATCAGTCATAAATTTCAGCCCAAAGCTCATACTCTAGTGACTTCAGCATCCAGGGCACTCCCCCCAGGTATGGCTGTGTAACTGACATGACTATTACAGGGCATCCCAATGTGCCTTCGTGATTTTTATTTTAGAAACCAGAGACTACAGTAGGAATTCTGAAACTTCATAAGGAAGGTCTTACTACCCAAGTCTCTGAGAAATATATCAAGTCAACTGATTGGTCTACCAGTAGGGCTGTAACTAATTATTATTTTCATAATTGATTAGTTGGCCGATTATTTTTTTTGATTAATCACAGAAAAAATAAAAATACCATCCTTAATTTAAAATGAAATACACAAATGGAGTGTTACAAAATATAAAGTTTACGTCAGAATAAAACTGCATGAACAATTTTTTTGCAATCGCACTGCATTGAGGTACCGTGCATTCCAGCACAGGAGATCACACTGTGGGTGGGAGGGGTGTTTGGGGTGCCATTTAAATGAATGGCAATGCAACACACCTCCCACAACAAAATGTGTCAGACCGAAACGGGAAATTACTTTTCCACCTTTTAAAAAATTTTTTTTTTACTGTATTGGAAGCACATGGCGCTTGAATAGCTTCAGCCAGGAAATGACAGCTGCCAGTGGGAAGATTCCGCAGACGGCAGCTGAATGTAAATACAGCAGGTAGTGGGTTGGTGCAATAGCGAGCCTGCTATTGGCCATTTCAATTTGCAATAGCAGGCTGGCTATTGCACCCGCCCACTGCTTGCTGTGCCCTTCTCCGAACGTGGAGGAGAGAGCTAGGAGTTCCAACCAACTAATCAATAATGAGAATAGTTGACAACTATTCTCATAATCAATTAGTTGGTTGCAGCCCTACCTACCAGTGCCTATTCAAATTTAAAGAAGAACTCCAGGGGTAAAAAGAAAAATCTTAATCCTTGCAGTGGGGCTACACACTGGGTTTAAGTGGTCACTCGACCCTCGGATCGACTGGCTATGACAGCGCTCCCTTCAGCGACAGAATGTTCTTTGGCCGCCACACATTCTATACACAGTGTATAGGACAGATGACTCACAATACCTTAGACTGCTGCAGTGGAGGGAGAGAGAGGCTCCAGGGACTGGTCTAAGAGCCGACTGGCTCAGAGGATCGAGTGACTATTATTTTTTTTTAACCACACAGAAGCTCTTAACCCTTGCAGTGCGGGAATAGCCCCACTACAAGAAATAAATATTTTTTTTTTCCCCTGGGAGTTCTGCTTTAAGGTTTGGATAAGAATGATCTGATCCATTAATACACAGAAAATTGATTGTTATTCTTTGAGAGGAATTTATCAAAAACAGAAGCAGACAAAATCTGGAGCAGCTGTGCACAGCAATCAATCAACTTCACTCTTAGGTTTGTTCAGTTAAGATTTGAAAATGAAAGAGAAGCTGATTGGTTGCCATGCACATCTGCTCCAGATTTTGATAAATTCCCCCGCCCCCCTCCCCCCCTTCAGCCTGTCTCCTCCTCCGCTCCAGCAGTCTAAGGTCTACATTGTATAGGACGTGAGGACACAGAAGGACATTTCATCACTGGAGTGGAGGAGGAGACAGGCTGAAGGGACCGGCATAGCAGCCAGCCAGGATCATGATTCCGGTGAGTATAACTCTGTTCTTTTAGTACCCTAGACAAAATGAGCACTTAACCTTGCAGAGTGGGGGTAGCCCCACTGCAAGAGTTAAGATGTGATTTGCCCAGATTTCTTCTTTAAAGTACTGCATTTTTATAATGAGAATCAACAACCAACAGATCAAGCAGATCTCACCATAGAATGAAGACCGATTTCAGCTCCAGCACGTGCAGGTTTCACCCAGAAACACATGCATATAACCACTTTTTTAATATTATTGTAATGACATGAGAAAGGCATACTTACGTTTCAAAAATGGCAAATACAAACAAAATGACAAAGAACAAAACATTTGATGAGACAATGGCCACTCGGTCAACAACCTCTTCACTCGCTGCCTGTGAATTAAGCTCTGCAAAGAAAAGCAAACAATAAATACACTCCAACCATTAGTGGCATCATCTAGTGGAAGAAACTCAACAAGGCATAGTGAAGGGTTTCATTGTGCAAATTAATAAACATAACGTATGAAAAATTCAATGAGAAATATTTGGCATTTAAAGCCGAAATATAATCGTATGTTTTGCCTTTCCTGGTTCCTCATCCCTCAATAATATGCAAGGAAATGTTCTAATAAAATCATTCTGTTTTCAATATATGCCTTATTTTAGAAATGCAATCATTGGGTCTCTGTGCTTCCCTATGCAATGAATGCAAATCATAGCTGGTGGAGGGGGCCAAAAAGGTGCTGCACATAGCTTCCTGAAAAGATCAGAGCACCCCGGCTGAGTACTCCTCTCAAATGTCGCTAGCCTTAAAGCAGGTAGTGGGCTGACTTTTAGGAGGAGTTATGCAAATATAAAATACCCTAATGAATGAGCATTCCTAAGGAGGCTGCATTTGAATGCAGACTGCCCTAGGTAATGCCCACACCTGACACTGAACCTCCATAATTAAAAGAACTGAAATTCAATGGAAGGGCCAGGGACAGTACAGTAAGACTGGGGAGGATTGAGCTAGATAATGTTGGCTATCCTTTAGTAAGGTATGAGGCAGGCTCTGACTTGGTGCAGCTTCTCATACATGTGAGAAGCTCACAGTGTGCAGTGAAATTAAAGTAAGAGACGCCTGTACAAGACTGAAGGGAAGGCTGGAATTCAGCTTAAAAAAAAATTGTGCTCGTCATTTTATCAAATGTAGTTTTTATCTACATTAAAAACACACAAGATGACATCTGTAACATAATAAGATGTGACCTACAACCCAGTGTTGTTATAAACCGCTATGTATACTGGTTGTTTCTTTAAGGAACTGAAACGCTTCATGCTCATAAAACCCAACTTCAAAACAAACTCAAATTAAGGAAATGGTTAGAGGAGAACTATGGGGTCAGTGTTTTCCATAGTTCTCCTCAGGGTCAAGGGAGGACACAAACTAGCGTCCTACCGTGACCCAAAACTCAGTATACCGCAAGCTACAGCTTGCGCTATATTGAGACCGCCGCAGCCGACACGGATCCCGACATTACTGTCGAGATCCACCCAGCTGCGCGATTGACAGCTGGTTCTCCCTATCTAGAGGCGCCGCAGCTGAAGCGGATCCCGACAATTGTGCCGGGATCCGCCCAGCTGCATGACTGACAGCTGGCTCTGCCTATCTAGAGGCAGAGCCAGCTGTACCCGCCCCCTCCCCCGTCCGTTCCTCCAGTCAGCGCTGGAGGATCGGAGCGGGGTAATCCCTGCAGAGAGCTGTGAGTGACAGTCACTGCTCTCTGCAGGGACAGGATCGAGACATGAGAGAGCGAAGGTATGTGTTCGCTCACTTCCGATCTATTGAGCCGACGTGTGACAGTTTCAATGTCACACGTTGGCTCGAACTATGAGGGTGAGTGAAAATCACTTACCTCAAAGTTCTCCTTTAAACAGAATGAGACAACACTATAAGAAGACACATTTACACAATACTACACTATTTTGGGACGAAATAGAGAATTAACACTTCTTTTTTTAGTTAGCAATTCATCTAGTGCTCTTCTAGAACTTTCATAAAGATTCCCCTAAAAAAGTCTGGCCATCATGTATCATTCCTTGAAGATGTTCAGTAAACCACACATACAGTTTGAAAAGTAAAAGGTACTGTAAAGCTTTGCTAATAAATGCACTTGTACACAGAGGCGCAGTCAGTAACATGCACGTTTATGACAGATGTTACTGCATGCCTTTTTTACATGTTTACTAATGACTATATGTGCATTTTATTGCCACGTGTTATGCTTATGTAATATTAAGAATGAGAAACATTCAAGAACAGAAAATTTCCATGGTGCAGAAACACTTAAATTATACTGACGTTTGAAGGGCCTATGTTGAAGGGCTTTTGTTCACATCAGAACTGCTTCTCTCCCCATACAAGTCAATGGAAATGCAAAAGCAGCTTGAAGCAAGTTGATGAAGCTTAGGAGGAACTCAAATGCAGGTAAGGAGGAGGACAACTGTTGGCCAGACATCTCTCATTGAATTCAGAATGATCCCAGAAGCATCTCACACTAATGTCAAAATGAAAGCAGAATGCACCCGAGGGCACACTGGATTTGCCCATAGATATAAAGGCCAAAACCTGTGGACACAAGCCCTTTGTGATTTTGATATGCATTTTAATGGGTCACTTTAATGCAGCTTAATAGATCAAAATAGCTAATCTGCAGATGTAGACTAGCTGCTTAGTCATGCATAGAATTTCTAAAATGAGGCTTGTTTAGACAGCCCTGATTTGAAGCTCTGCGTCTGCATAATATCCCTGCGTTCTTCTCTCCAGTGGCTGTGGAATATTCTCAACAAATATTTACCACTTGCGGACTGGCCACTGTATAATCTATGGGCAGTCCGTTGCCCCATTGTTCTGGGCAGACTTACAGGTAAACTCCTGTTTGCTCGTGGCCGCGGTTGCTGCACACGCTGCTCCCGCTGTCGTTAGACAGTGGAGAGCTGTGGCTTTAGACACAGAACTGATCAGACTCTGTGTCCTGTGATTGGTTATCACAGCAATCACACAGCAATGTTTACATTACCAAGCCCTCCCCTTCCTCTTACATCAGAGGCAGGGGACAGTAAAGTGAGTAATGTGAGCAACCCTTTTATCCCTCCCTCCTCTTCTGCTTATGTTAGATCCATTCTATCTGTACTCTGACCTGTATATTACACCTTTCACCTTGCTTGTCCTGCAAATATATACATTAACCCCTTTCATCTTTATCCTCCCACGGTCTATGAACTGTATATTTAATGCATCTTGTGCGCTATTACCAAGCTCCAGGTTTTAACCCCTTCAATACCAGCATGTTTCTTCGTTAAAAAAAAAAATCACCTTGGAGCGTCCACTTTCCAAAATGGGGTCATTTGATTTATAAACGAAAGTAAGATGAACAATTTTCTGGTCTTTTTTTACTTTATATAGTAAACAATTTTAAAAAAGCGGTTATCAAATATTACTAATTGAAAGCTCTATTTGTCCCCAAAAATGATACACAGTTAATTTTGTTACAGTGTTGCGTAATGGAGGAATTCTCAGTAAAACTAAAAGCACAGCACTAAAAATGGCCTGGTAATGAAGGGGGTATAACTTGCTGGTACTGAAGTGGTTAAAGCAACACAAACATTCCTGAAGGGCAGATGCAGAATAGAAGGTCAATATAGGTATATGTGAAATCTAAAACGTATATAATACCTTCAGGCTCATAGTTTATATTTCCTAGGTGCCTTCCTAGGTCATCCACTCTGTGTTCTCTGCAAGAAGAAGACAAATACACTGCTTAAACCACAAAGTAACTGCAAAAACTTTTAAAATTAGGTGTGGAAGCGTTGGTTAAAAAAACAAAAACACAACACAACACACAAATCTAGGCCAAAATAGCCGATTTGGAAACATTCTCTAATTCAGCTCACTTTCCAAATCAGCTATGTTGTCCTAGATTGTTCACTTCTCCTTCCTTCTCCAAACTCTTCACCCTTTTATGAATAACCCCCGATAGTGATCACAGATCTAGTGAATTCCAAATGGAATATCTGAGCTCGATTGAAAACATTTTGGATGTTATTTCTGTTTCTCTAGTTTTTAATAAAACTTCAT